AGGACTGAAAGCCTTATGTGTTGGAATCCCTGTACAATTTATATACATGTATGGAGAGAGAGAGAGAGAGAGATACACAGAGATAGTTTCTTTCAAGCTCTCTCCTTTTAACCTTGGTCTGTACATGGGGTAGCGCGTGTCTCAGGCTGTGGTCTAGTTTTAAAAATGGAGAATTAGGTCAATTGGTTGAGGGTTTACCCTCCCTATGCTTAAACTCATGTTAGTTTAGGGGGGTGGGGGCAAGGCTACAGCTCATAAGATCAAGGCGTCAAGACCCTGTTTATGGCCCATCGCGAAAGCAAATACCAGTACCCATCAGTGGTACGTGTTAATGATTGTAAAAACTGTGACTCTTACTCTTATTTAACCCCGCAAGAACTGTAAACACTTTGATTTCATAGGCCCCCCCGCTCTACCTTAGTCATGTTACAGTTATCACAAAGCATGCCTCCACCTGAAGACCAAACTGCAGACCTTGGCTATCCTTTGGCGCCGTTCATTTGTTCGGCTCCGTAACCTGGCATATGGTCATCTGGTGATGCCAAGAAGAACTGCCCGACTGAAAGCAAGCGCCCCAAACAGAAAGCTCTTCCACTGCGAGGTCTGTGACTTGCGGCCTACCTCCAGCCGAGGCTCCAATTGCTTGCTGGCTGTTGGTGGGGAGTGAAGGAAGGGAACAGAAAATGGGAACTAGAACTTGATTGGGGTTTATCTAGGGGCTGCTATAGGGTTGTGTTCCTCCGTTCTGTACGACGCCAGTAAGATTGATAATTTAGGGTTTAGGGTCTAGGGAATTGATAGTTGCAACAGTGGCCAAGGCCTGCTTCATGTTAACCATGGGCCCCCGCTATGACCCCCAAAAGAGGTCTCCCAGCTTTATCCTACAAACCCCGCAAGCCACGAAAACTTCCATGATTCTGTATGTGACTGTATGCCTTTATGCGCAAACAGAACACGTCTTTGTTTCATGATTCTGTTTATTGGCGAGACGTCTTGGTCGCAACCGCGCTTGTTGCCATTGTGCTTCACCGCTCTTATCTGGAGCAATACTAGTACCATCGTCTTTTGATCTGACCGTTCTTGTTATTCTTAGCCTGGTTTTGCATGCGAGAACAAAGTTAATTGTGCCTCCAACGAGGCGGTGCCAATCCTTTGGGTCTTGATCGGCGGTGCGCGCTGAAGCCTGACTCTGTTAAGGAATTGCGTCAGTCTTCCAAGACCCCCCAACTGCCCTCCAATAAGGCTATGGTGTATCTGATAGCCAGAGGGCTGGACAAAGGGGAGAATCCTGGCCTTTGCGATTTGTTCCTTGTATTCGTGGGCCGGCAGAACACGTCTTGAAACCAATATACCTTCATTGTAAGTGATTGGAAATATTTCAGCGCCAAATATTTCAGCGGCGTAAAACCTGCGTGTCAATGTGAGGGCGATGTGCCCAGTGTGGATGCCGCCCCGAATGACTCGTGGGACAGGTTTGAGTGCTTGATTAGGTTCATGGTCTTGAGACTCATCATGAATCCCTTACCTGAACCCCGAACATATGCAAAATAAAAGCCTTCTCGTCTTTATCTTGTGGCATTCTGCGACCGACTTTTCAGGCCCAGGTAGCGTAGCCCCTTGCAACCCTATGCCTCTTGTTACAAAGCGTCCCTTTCTTCGACACCTTGAGGTTGAGGTAGTGAAAGATTGCAACACCTTTCAAGAGTCAATTTGCTTCATAGTACGTGGGCTCATCGCTCCAAACTCCAGTTTTCAAGGGCTAGATGAAGGCTTGGAGCACGAATTTACAACCCTAAACCCTAAACCGATGGAACCGTCGTGCTGCAGGTCGAACAAGGGAGCTTGACTTTCGCTTATGTATCCTTTTACGCTCAGTTCGTTTGAACTCCAGATACAGCGAATAAAGACCAGAAAAAGCGCAGCCAGTGCAGTAGACAGTGCTGCACCGCAAGGAAGAAATCAGACCTTTCTCAGGAGTCGATGAAGTAGTTGGTCTCCCAAACTCCGTAAATCCTAAACCTTCAGCCCAAACCTTTAACTGAACCTCACCTCAGCTCTCCATCACTTTGGGTTTTAGGGTTCAGGGATTACCAGTGATTCCAACTACGTACTGTTTATAAGTTTCCATAAGTGCAGGGAACCCAAATTGGACCCAAAATACTCTAGCGCTGACTACAGGGATCCCGATAGAGATACTGCTATTTAATGACCCCGCCCATGGGTTTTCCCAAAGCGTGGCTGAGGAAGATCCTTCACAGGCGCCAGTACCGAGCCCAGGACCTTGGAGCCGTCCAACATGGAAATGTTCAACTTTCTTGTCTGTGGCATTGGTGAGTGGATGGACCCATAATAGTCAACGGCGTGCCGTACGAGACTGCTCTGAAACTTCTTACACTTGTCAGGAAGTCTACTCAGAGCATGCCGTGCAGGATTATACTTGAGGGTGCACGATGGGACCCAAATATTGACCAAACGCAGATCTGTTTTTGGCCCTTTTACGATTTCAGGTGTGCGCCGGGCTTTCAGAAAAAATGATGCCTTGTTGGCGTCACCACCATTACAATTCCGAATATAATGTATGCCTGCAGACCCTCAGACCGCTTACTTGCTGGCGGCTTGTAGAGAATGAGGGCCTAAGCCCTGAACCCATACAAAAACCGGCAGCTTTCATTCATATTGCAGTAGCTTTGCCCTTTGTCTCTTCATTCCTTGCTATTAAACTCTTGAATGGTTAATTTGGTGAAATACTCAAAGTCAGGCCACACGACCCCACACATCTTTGTTTTGAGCCTTCGGGTTGTGTTAAGGGTTCAAGGGTTGAGGGGTTTTGGTTTCAGAGGGTTGTTTTGGTTCCAGCGTTGAGGTTTTAGGGTTTGGGATTTAGGTTTGAGGCTTGCGCGCCGCTGAATTTCGTGGCACTTTACGAAGACGAAGACTTTGGGTCATCTTTATCCCCGAATAAAAGTTTCGTCTCGTTCGAGGGAGCCAAAGAAAGTACCAGCCACGAGAGATGTTGGATACATATCGATGTTGACACGGAGAGACGTCTGATCGGGTTCTCGAAGGAGTTTTCTTGAATTGCAGACCGGAAAAAAGGAGTTGCTTGTAGGGCTCTATCCAGAGAATCTTGCTAGACGACGTAATGCTACAGAATCTAACTGGAGAAAAATGGCGGATGATGTATTTACATGCAAACAAAATTCCCAGAATGGTAAATCCATGCGCCTCCTGCCTCTGCTGCAGAGAGGACATGCTCGCCAGGGCGAAGCAAGAGCGCCAGGCACGCACATAGAAGCATGAAGGTTTCCGGTACACCACTAGACCAAGAAGCCCCCACCCGTGGGTCCTATGCTTCGCAAATTTGATTTGGCCGTTCTGATTACTGCTTCCCTCCTCTTTGGCCAGCAACTCTCCCTCTCTCTCTCTCCTCGCTCTCCTCGCGCAGGGATGCCTGCCGAAACAAGAGGGTGAACCAAGTGCCGAGTCTCCCCACTCAACCACTATTCAGTATTCAAATGTAAAATAAAGCGCTTGCCCACCTTATACATGAATACATATGTACGCCCCCAATATTACCAGCCTTGTTCGAAGGACCCCCAAAAAACTTTCAGCCTTCTTCAGCGGGTAAGTACCCTCCCTCCAAAACAAAATGCAGGAGTTTCCAGAAGCGGGGACCCCTTGTACACCGCTAATAGATTGCAAGGATCCCCTGAAAAGGGATCTCTGCCTTTTTTGGAAAGTTCATGAGTAGTTTGTTGTTCATGGGGACCCATGAAGCTTCAACAAACCCTATGTTCTTGTTGTAAGCACCAGCACTTTCAATCTTTGACAAGATTAAGCCTTAGAAAAGGGGGAGGGCTTACGGTTTGGGATCTTCAAGCTGAAGAATACATGCCCTCCCGCCTAGACAGCATCCAACAAAAAGGAACGGTATGCGAAGGGTCATTTGTACAATTAAGTGTCTTCTGGGCACAAGTATGCTCATGATTCAGGACTGCGAAGGGGTAAGCTCACATCAACACCGTGGGTAGGGCACTCCGTGGAAGTACTTACCCGAGACCCCAAACCCGAAGCCCTGAACCCCAAACCTTAAGCTTGCGCGTAAACACGAAACCTTAGACCCTCAACTTTGCCCTGGAGAGGTTTTGAAGGCGGCACGCCATCCGTTCATTGTGCGGTTGCTTTGCGCTTTCCGCACCCTGGCTCAGTGTCCCGAATTTGGGGCCATGAATGGCATCAGAAGATTGAAGTTATGGTTCCGTCTTTCCTTTGAATTTCATCTGAAGCATGCAGCAGTTGCCTAGTTTGGAATTCTGCTTTTTGCCACAGACCTCTTGACAGTACATTCCGGTTCGTTCCCGAAAGTACCCATTGCTGATAAGATTTCAGTCATGGCCAACTTCGGACCATAAAAGCGGCGCCGGAGCATCACAAGAGGCTCTTGTGAAGATTTGTTGAAGGCAATTGTTTCTTACGGACTGCGGCTGCACCACTCAACCTCCGAATGGCCCCAATTTCAGTGCGTTTGATATGCACTAGCTACTTATGGTAGTCAAGTAAGATCTGAAGCGGTTTCCGGTTAGCAATCCGCGGCATACACATCGACTTGACAACGTACACGTTGCAGTGGGATGTGCCTTTTGGCATTCAATTAGTTGACTCGACTTGCATGCTTTCTTGCAGTTGCATGGTCAACCAAGGGCTTCAAAAGAAGGGGCCAGGAAATCTAGATGTGCGCAAGAAGTTCATAGCTTCGCCAAGGTGGTTTTGTGACACGCTTGGCTTAGGGTTTAGCCTTCACCATACCGTTGAAGGACTAAACACAATCAGCCTCCAAACCGGGAAGGTTGTCAAACTCCTGGCCCCTTTTTGGCTACACAAAATACTAGAGGGCTTGATACACCTGGGGACACAAGAAAACACTATCGGCACTATCTATAATGTAGACCACCTTTTTCTGCGAGTTCAAGAAGAAAAGTCAAGGCACACCTGGCGGTGAGATGGCGCTTGTCATGGAGTGCCCTTCTGGATACTTGTGGGTTTCCAAAGATTTCGGCTCCAGCTTGCTAATCCTTACAAAGAGGATTGCGATATATTCAGGTTTATGTCGGGCCCCGCATCTAGAATGATCTCCCATTGTATCTTATCGAGTTTTGGTGAGGCCGAATGAAACATGAGGATTTGATTGAAATCTGAAGAACCGGCGTCGGCGGTGGAGGTGGTAGAGGTGGAGGTGGAGGTGTGGTGGCAGCAGTAGCAGTAGCAGCAACACGAGTATCAGCCGGAATTATCAAGGAGGCAGAATTCGCAGCAAAAGCGGCAGTTGCTGTGGTCGAGGTCGTCGTTGCTGTCACGGATGCTCGGTGAGGAGGGACCGCTGCGCAAGTGCAGCGGCCCCTGCGAAGTTAAAGTTCCAAGGTGAATACTAGAAACCTTCGTGCTTCAAGACATCTTGATAAGGACCCGGCATGGGACTCTCGTGATAATCTGGATCTCAAAGTATAAAAAATCATGGTCCAACACCCTAAACACAGTCCAGACGACCGTTATTCTACACACGTCTAGCATCCTTTCCCATGCCTGACTACTAGGTCGCCCATCAAGGATTCAGACCCTATCACTAAGCCCTCTCGATCTCTACTTTGCCCTAGAAACCCCTAATGGATCCGTAGGACCTACTTACAAAGTCCTCCCAGACCCTCCAAGACAAATTACTGGCCCAAAGCCACACTTAAAGCTTCATGGGTAGTCTTTTATTATTCGGTTTAGGATTTAGGGCTTATCGGGTAGCTATAGCCCCGCTTGGGGGCTTCCAATCTCACCCCCGCAAAGTATGTAGACTGATAGCCTTTTTGCCTACTTTGGGATAGCTGTGAAACTTCAAGCAGGTATTGCCCCAACGGCAACCTGAACGATTTCATCGTCCGCAACGGGCAACCAGGGCTTCCCGAGGCGGGTGTTTAGGCTTAGGCCGTCAAGGTAAGGCTTAGGGGTTTGAGCACAGAGCTCAGGATTTAGGGTTCAGGGCGTAGGATTTGGGGTGAAGGACTCAGGTTTCGGTGCCATATGGCGTTTCTTGTGGAGCTGAGGTTTGCACACCAAGCTTTTTCACAGCTGCGATGGCACCGAAGGCATCCAAATGCATTCAAATGCTCATTGCCATTCGCGCCAGCCTCCACAAGCCCCAAGCCTTCCCCAATTCCTTCGAGAGGTCCTCCGTAACTGACACACTCTATAGGCTATCGAGTCACAAGTTTCCATGTCTGGATTTCCAAGCGACATCTAGATCTCGCAAGAGCTATCACATAGCCTACAGATAAACCCTGAAATCAAGACGTTGAATTTTTGGATTTGCAAGCGCCTGAAGGCATGAACTTGCACCCAAGGCAAGATCTGCCTAAGCCAGGGGCAGGTCCGCTTAAGACCTTCATGAGCAGGCCCTCCTTTTCTGACATTTCGCCACAATGCTCCACCCAAAATGCATTTAAGTTCAAGGTCTTCTCAAGATTTCTCAGAAAATCTTGATAGCTCTGAGAACAAATATGTCTATACGACTGTAGAGACAAAACTTAGCAAAAGCAGAAAACCGCAATTTCTGCAAGGTCTGGCAGGATTTTTTGCCAAAGCCCTGCCCAAAAAAGGAGCACTCTGTGTTGTCGTTACACTAGTCGTTATCTTAGTTGCTTCCATATGTTCGTCTACTGGCACTCCATGTCTAAAAACCCTGAGCTGGGCCTAAACCCAAACCATATTTATCCTTATATACCTGCCCTACATCTCCTGTAACCCTGCATGGGATTTGTTTTGTGTTTAGCAATGTGTTGCCCTAATACCTCTAAATCCCAAACCGTTAACCCGAAGCCCAAAACGAAAAGCTAAACCCCAAAACCCTCAACCTTAATAAGCCCTGGACCCCAAACCCCAAACCCCAAAACCCCAATAAACCCTAAACCCGCAATCCTAATCCCTAGAGCTTGCCTTTTGCTTTGCGACCAGGGCCTCTCCAGAAAGCTGATCGCTGAGGCATCGGGCTGCGAGAGCCGAGATTTTGCGTACCAAAACCTTTCGCCTGGTTTAGGGCCTAAAAGGCTTCGGCTTTAGGATCTAGAGTTTGGGATTTCGGATTTTCAGGGTTTAGGATTCGGAGTTCAAAGTTGGGTGTTGGTCGTAGCTCTAAGCCTTGTTGCACCAGAATACTTGTTTATCTCTGCGTAGGTCTCTGGTCAAACCATCAGCACCAGCAAACCAAAGTACATGAAAAGGGATTCTTGTTTGGAGTGGGAAAGATACCCTCAACCCCAAACCCTAGAACCTATACGATCTGGAAAAATGGAACCTCAGAATAATTACCTTGTTTTTATAGTTCAACTGAGATCACTTGGGGCTCCTTTTTTTGGATCCTTTTTGGGGTCTGCCTTGCGATTCCGGGCAGGCCTTTGCTTTTCAAGACCTGCACTGATAGGTATTTGTGCGTTTTGTTGAGGGTCCAGGTTTGAGTACCATGCGCATTTGCTTGGGGTTGCGGTTTTTGGATAAGGGTGTAAGCACTCCCAAAACGCCTCAAACGCTGCTGCCATTTCTTCAGTGTTGTTGATGTGTTCCTCTTGCAGCGGCAGACTGGTGTCAAGTAAGCCCTTTTCCTTTTGGGGGTCTTCAGTATTTGATTAAGTTCTGTAGGAGATTGAGCCACGTTCAAAGAATAGGACCTTGTTAGTCGTAGGTTACTGTGGATCCTAGCAGAAGCAACGTATGGCCTGCGTGATGCTGTCTGCTCCATGTTTCATGAACCCGGGTCCGCAGAAAGAAAAGAGAGACCTCGGTTTAGGGTTTTAAGGTCCAGGGTTTCTACCATGGATGCTGAAATCTTGCATGTCCCTAAGTCCATAGGGACATTATACCTCAGCAACTATACTATCAGAATAGTCCAGGGTCTTTAGTATCCACCGTAAGACACTCCGCCTGCCCGGAAATAGGGCTCTGGGGTTCCGAATGTTGGGTTATGACTCTCTTTGCAGCAAATCCCTACGGCCGAAGAATGCGCCCTTGCCTGCTCGAAGGTGCTGCTGGCCTTGGGTTACCTTCATGATGAGCTGGGAGCCTGGCAGATGTACGGTTTGTTGGTTCTGGGCTAGGTATAGGCTGAAATGAGGTTTAGAGTGTAGGGCTTTATGAGCAGCTGTAACTACACATCTTGCAAACTTTTATACGGACCACGCTTCTTTGCCTCCTGCTCTGAGTTCAGGCTTTGTCTTGGAGCCTTGACGATGAAAAGCTTGGGCAAGTAGCGATATGAAGACATAGGTCAATTACCCTACTAATGGGAATAAAATGCAAAGTGAAATGGAAACAAGATTTATATGCAAGGTTTTGAACCTGCTTTTGAAATGGTTCTGGGCAATCATATTTTTGGTGAGCCCAAGAGATGGGTTGAGCCTGTTTGTGCGAGGGTGGCCGTCCTCCAGGAGCAAATCCCAAACTCCCTGAGGCTTCAGGGTTTTAGGGTTTAGGGGTTTAGGGCTTAGGGTTTATCCTGTTAACTTCACTAATGCACCTGTAAATGAGCCTTGGCATCCGCCATAGGATTGTAGCTCATGAGCATGTCATGCCCTCAATTATAGGGGTCATTTGTGGGCATTATTTGCAGACTTAGAGCGCCAAGGATGTAGCATCTGATTAGAAACGGCTCGTATGAACGGGGTCTCTACATCTTGAAACGTAAACCCTAAGCCCTAGACCCTATAACCCCAAACCCTAAACCAAGTCAATCCGGGCTCTACAACTTCTTCAACTCCCAAATCCTCAGTCCAAACAGGTGAAGGAAAGCGGATTTCGGGAAGTTATCTACATTGAAAGGCCCACTACACCCTCAACCCCAAATATTAAGCCTTACACCATTATCCCGTAGCCCAACACCCTAAAACCCCTGAACCCTGAAGCCCTAAACCCTACGCTGCAAGGCTCGACGTCGTCTTCCGAGACCTGAAGCCCGAGAATATCGTGCTGGATGCTGGGATGCCGCAGCCTTAAGCTTGGGCTTACTCTCGGGTTTAGGGTTAAGGGCTTGAGGGTTTAGGCTTTGGGGTGTAGGGTATAGGATCTAGGGCTCAGGGTTAAGGGCTTCGGATATAGGGTTAAGGGTTTTAAGGTTCAGGGTGTAGGCTTTAGAATTTGTGGTTTAGGGCTTTTCAGAGGGCGTAGGCTTTAACAGTTTGAGAACTTGGGTTGGGGGCTACGTGTGACCCGCAGTGTGAAAAAATGTAGTAACTCAAAGCAAATGGGAAAAAACTGGTGGATGAATATCGATACTATAATTCCCGCCCCTAGGGATAAAACTCTCTCCCCTTGTACCATCATGGTAGGATTCCCTCTGGACTTGCGTATCAGAGAGACCCCTCAACTGTGGGATCCGGGAACGAGGATTTGGGAGCTTCGTGAAGGCTTGTGGGTGTAGTTGTCCGCATATGAACTCTTGAAAGCAGACCCGTGAAAGTAGAGCCATCCTATAGCCCTTACTATGCCTAGCCCTCCATTCTAGAAACATCTATGTGCGCCTGCAGATGTAGGCTGCTTCGGCTTCTGGATTGTTCAGTATGTTTTCCAGGAAGCAGGGCCCATTTTCTTGTCCCTAAGTTGCCAACTTCAAGAAATGGGAGTGCCCAACAGTAGAGATTATAGTATTTAGTGGGAAGGGGAATCCCGCAGTTTTGAGGCATCCACTGGGGCTTTGTTCCTACCAATGTGCTACGCAGGCACCGACCAACTTGTCATTTTCTCAGTGTTTTCCTCTTCATCAGTCCTCGCCTATAACTCTTTGCAAGTAAGCAGCGGCGGTTGAAAGGTTTGGTGTTTAGATTTCAGGGCGCGCTCTTTCAAATTCTCCTTCTTTTTCATAGTAATACCGAGCACTGCGAACCACGGTGCCTCTCATATGCTTGTGAGAGCGCCTCTACCTCGACAATACTATACCCTAAGCACTAGATCATGGATAGTTAGAAGAGGTTACAACTATAGTAATTCTAGCTACCACAATGATAACCACGCTTCTATGAAGCACTAAACATCCTTTTGAAAGCGCCAAGGCACGCAAAGCTGACCGACTTCGGCCTGGCCAAGGAATTCCTCCATGTTAGGGTCTTCAGTGTTATGTACTTGGCAGGGTCAGGGGGACTTAGTAAGCATACCTATCACCTCTATGAGCCATGTATTAGGCCCAGTTTTCCCAACATTAATCTTTACTAAGACCCCTTAACCTTCCAACTTCCAAGTAGGCAACCTGAAGGTGGAGCTTTCACAGTGACTTGCTTGAGAAACACCGCTGCAGTGGGGAAGGGATTGAACGGGGTCCAGACCTACACGGGTTCTTCTCAAAATTATGGGCCCCTTTGGGTTGTAGATCATATTATGACGGCACGTAATATTTTGGGATATGAAAATGGGACCCTAATTTCGGGAATTACCCATATCCCTGTTCAGCAACATGGCACCATGCAACAGGTCCAGTCAGGCTTGCGGGCTCCCAGGTTCCCAGGGTGGAGTTGAAACACCCTGGGTTTAAGGTTTTAGGGTTGAAGTTCAGTTTACAATGGCCCCTGCTTTTGGCATAGTCTTGGGCTTTGGATGCTACATTCCGGGTTCTCACAATGTGTGCCAGCTTTTCTTCTTGGGATTCCCTGGCATGAGCTCAAGCACTGTTTACGACTCGCGGCTTCATTGAGTAAAGGTAGGCCTTTTGTGAAATGGATTAAGCCGTAGGGTCTTGACCTTGATATGGTGTATTCTTTAGGCTTGGGGGTACTAAACTCCGATCCCATACAATTCCCATTCTGGGTCACACTCACGACCTAAAATATCCTTGGGCGAGTCATGTGATTTCTACGAACCGATGGCTTTGACATAAAGCCTGCACTGATCCAACAGTTACAGTCTCCCTTAAGTAGACAGAATATGGAGTTGATCCAAACCATAATGAGATCCCAATATGCCCCACCCTAAACTCTATATGTATTCAAGGGGAACTATAGGGTTTAGGCCTTAAGTGGGATTATACCAAGCTGGAGCTTGTCAGATAAGCACCTTGCGCCTGAAAACCGTCTTTCAAGCTTGCTTAGACCCGGAAGCCATAAAGGCCGCCTACTATCAAAAAAATCTATTCTAATCATTATGACTATGATTATCCCTAATCTACGGTTAGAAGTACGGGCCCTTAGGCCTTCTAGGGGGGTTCTGGGGATCTTCAAAGGGTACATAGAGGGTCAGAATAAAGAATCCATGTGTCTCTGCAGGGTAAGGAAGCTCAAGCTGTCACGAAGCCTCAAGCTCTAAACCATAAATCCTGGACCTCAAACCTCAAGTGCCAAAGTTTTGCTTTAGTAGGGTTTAGGGCTTAGGGTTTCGGAGTTCTTTTGATGATTTCATTAGCAGGCAGTAGAGAAATGAGTCTTTGTGACAGTCTTCGTATCTTTCCCCGTCATTCCTTGTAATAATCACCCCAACATCCCATGCCTTCACTCACCCGAAACCCTACTGACAAGACCATACATTCCAGTCCTAAAGCATGAATTCTGAGCCCCAAACCCTAAGCTTACATACCTCAGAATCCTTAGCCCTCACTCCTGAACCTTCAGCCCTAAATTATACATAATCTTTGTAATAGAGCCCTCACATGCGATAACCCCTCAAAAACCTTCTAATTTGAAAAGCCCTAAACCCTAAACTGCGCGCGCCTGGGGAGGCTGAGGCCAGCAGCGGCATGGGCGCACGCAGCTTTGTTGGTCCGAGCCCTTCTGGGAACTACTTTGTTGTTGCTAAGGTGGGTTTAGGGATTCAGGGTTTAGAGACTGAGGGGCTTAGTAAACGTGTATAGGATGCAGGGCTTGAGGCTTCAATTTTTGGGGTTGAGGGCTTTCGGCCTAAGGTTTGGGTTTTGTTAAGGTAAGCTACCATAGTAAGCGTTCCTCTACAACAATAGAGATGTAAAGTGAGAACTTCTTCGTAGTTTCTCAAGATCGGCAGACAGGGATCCCAGGGCCCCTAAACACTAAATCCTATCGAGATTCTAGGGGTCTTCTCGCCAAAAAGTAAATAGGGATGATGCGGATGAACTTTCATATAGGGATCTCGCTGAATTTGGGTTATTTCGGGATAGTTAGGCTCAATAAAGGTTCACTCAGGGGGAACCTGGGGGATGGGGGAGTAGTATAGAGTGGGGTTGTTGGGGAACCCATGATGAAGTGTTTTTTCACGCATCCTGACATCTGAGTTGCTACTATAGTGCGTCTTCCTGTGTTGCAGTGGATGGAGCAGATCCACCACCTACGATCCCCAACCTACTGTAACCGTTAGGGTATGTGATATACTAGGTGGTGCAAGATTTCCTCCATCCACGGTCGGTTGCCGCCATTTTGTTGGCAAGGGGTTAGGCAAACCTCCACAGAAGGTACTGTGTTCATTGTGCTCTGGGTGAGGGTCAACAATTCCGTAGACTGCAGATGAGTGCTTTGATGCATATCCTCCCAAGGGGAACACCAATGAGGGTTTCCCAACACTGGGGTACCATTTTGGACGTCCTTGTAGTAAGGACTATAGTATTTTGGGGTCTATATTGTGATCCCCCCAATTAGGGGAACCACCAAATCGGCAAACCTCATCCCACAGTGTTTTGTCAAGCTTCCCACTCGTTTTTGATGTCTGCTGCAATGAGGACTACTGTGTAGAGGACGCGGATCTGATATTGGGAGGGCAGAAATGCTACACATCTTAACTGTTGTCCATGCAGTGGATAGGTTGGTCCTTGCCCCTCCTCACCAGACTCGTAGAACCAAGCATGGTCATGCAGGAATATGACCCATGGAACCCACGCTTCGTGATTCATGTTGCCCGCAGGTTCAAGAAATCGTTACGGCGTTCAGGAGAAGAGTGGGCATTGCAATGATATGTTACATGCTTCTGACAAAAATTTTGAACACCTGAGACACAGGTGTACCACAGATCAGGCAATCATGGTCATGATGTTAGGCATACTCAGAAGTTCCAGAACATGATGATGCTGGTAGCGGTCACGACACTAATCTTCAGGAAATCCGAGGCGGACTCCATGTGAGCGGCCAATGTTCGGAAACCTATGGGCCCTTGTCGGGATACCTTTTTCTGTTCTCATTCTCGGAGATGACCAGATCCCGGAAGCATGCTGACTATTTTTTAGGTTTTCACAGAACAGCTGAACAGCTGATCTTGCCTAGGGTCGATGTATTTCGTGGCGCCCGAGGCTGCGACCTCAGAAGGGTAGCAGCATTCCAGCTGGAGCCTATGGATCGCCACGTATACCTACATCAATCCAGCAATCGAAGTGCACTGTTTCTTTGGGCTGCATGTGCAGGCCTTCTCTAAAAGTCCTAATCTGTTCTTTCTCAGCGTAAGTACTTGTCCAAGGTTTTCTGCTTAGTATTGGGCCTGCTACTGAGATTTTGAGTATAGCGGATTTGACCGCCGCAGAATGCATAGAGTCGAGCCCTTAGATCTAGAATGCCGGCTTAATTGTTGTTTCGCCTACTTTGGAGGTCCAGGTAGAGATTACAGTGGGCAGCTGAGGGGCTGCGATAGGATAGGGCGGATTTGGAGTATGTCACAGTCAGCTGATGGGCTTGGGAATGAGAATCACAGACAGCAGGATTTTGGATGGACTTCAGCGTGATTGGATTCTTAGTTGGACTTTCATGTGACACAGAGTTCTGAGTAGGCTCTTGCTTGTCCACGTCAATTGGTGCACTTTCGTGTAGCCAGCTGGTTTGCACCCTTTTCTCTCAACGGCTTAGCATTGAACCTATACCGGATTTCCTAAGCTCATCAGGCTTAAGGTCTGGGGCATAGGGTCGAAGCAAGAGATTCTCAACCCTGCTTGCTAAGGATTTATGCCATGCTCGGCGACCTCTTTTGAAATAAACAACTGCTGAAGTTCCAAACACAGACTATTGGCCTTGGAATTCAGATCGTCGACTAGCACGGTGATGGATTGTCGTAAGTGCGGCTATAAGCTATAGATCAACCGAATTGGGATAACACACGATGTAGTTCCCTGAGAATCCAAAAAGCCCCATGTAGCCTTTTTTCAAAGACTTTAGGACCCAATGTAGGTGAAGCTTGTATACTTGGATCCCCTGGGTGGTACCCAATCCTACTTGACTTCAGGTAAAAGAAGATCCAGGTAAACATTAAACTCCAGGTAACCCCAGCAGCTTCCCGCCGTTACGGCCCGGCGGTGGATATCTACGCCCTGGGCCTGGTCTCGGGCCTCGGCAAGTCAGCGCTCAAAGCTTCGTATAGCCTAGCCTTGGGGCGCAAAATCTGTCAATCATACCTACATTGGGCCCCGAAGTCAGTACAAAAAGTACCCAGATGGAGCCTAAGCAAAAGGGTTCAAGGAACCTAAAATTTCAGTAGTTGGGACTTGGGATAGGTTTTCGGGAAGTATATGACGATTCAGTGCTTGGACCCTTAGGGCTTGAGAGTTTATATAGGTTAAGAAAACCAATTAGAGATCCTCATTACCCAACCCCAATATCAGAACCCTATCATAGTCATACATGAGAGTTATAGGGTCCTTATTATAGGGTTGGAGAGACTCTAATCCCATTGTTAAACACAGTGCTTAGTTGTTGAGACTGAGCACGTGGCGTACATGTTCTGCTACCTAGCTTGATGATTTTACCTCCAATGTACACCCAGTCTAATGAATCAATAGTTGGTCGGTACACATTTTCTGCCTTTGGCCCTAAGCCCGAAAGTCTGAGCCACAGACCCTAAACCCCAAACCCGTTGAGTGTTTGCCTCCTGGGCTACACCCCCGGAGGATTGAAGATGCTACCCCCAAACTCACATGGAACCTGAACAGGGCTCTTTGTAGAGTCCTGTCCTTCAACTAAACGGGCTTGGGCGGAGTTCCGTGTTCGCTGGGGTCATGGTATCAGAAGTTGCGTATGTCACGGAATCGCGGCGGTTGCTCTTTCAATACTGGAAGAGCTAGCTTAGGGAAGTAGTTGAGGCACTTTGATGTCAGCCTTCAGATTTCCCCATTTAGCTGGGAATGGCTTGTGCCGAAGATTGCAACACCAGTGACCTACCTACCCCCCAAAAGCAGGCAAATCCCCCAAGTACTCCCCACAGCAGCTGATCATCACAGCGCTTCTAGATACCATTGCGGCTGCTGCCGCTCACTACCCCACTACCGCCGGCCACACAAAATGCAAGTACACCATTGCCTACGAAGTGCATCTTCCAGATTATGCCACCCTGATTACGGCCGATTACGCGAGAGGGGTAAACAGTGACAACACTGTCAGTGGAGTCTGCCTCTAAGAGTCTGAGCTGCAGTTGCTCCCTAGAGTTAGAGGTTACGACACTGGGGCGTCCTCCAATCTTGCCTGTTCTTTCCCGAGATCTCACGAGAGTGCTTATTCTCTTTAGGCACGCTGAGGCTCAACAGCCTTATTCCTGTCCTCCGGGGCTATTGTCATAGCAAATTTTGTTTGCTTGACAGTTAGTTCTTGATCATCTGGAGGTCGGTCATCCTCCAGGGTCTAGGGTTCAGGGTTTAGGGATTTAAGGTAGAGGGTTGAGGGTGCAGGGTTTCCGAAGCCTTCCCAAATAGAACCCCCCCAATAGGCACTAGTGGCCCTTATACAAGCCCCAAGAGTCCCAAAAGAGGAGTACTAAACCCTAAACTCGAAACTCTAAACCCTAAACTTTTCACCCTTAACCTTTTGCTCTAAACTCTACCTCCGAAACTCTCCTCCCTAAACCCTATGAAAGCAAACTTTGGCACTTGAGGTTGCCTGGGTTGCCTTCACCGGAGGCGTAACATCCCGAAACGCCTCAGAGGAGCGGAGGGAGAGTAGGGAATACTTTTCGACTTGGCGCCGTAGGATTATAGAGCGTCAAGCTTAGGAAGGTTCTGGGGGCTAGGGCTTTGGTGGGATTGTTGCTTGAGGGGTTGGTTCACGGATTATGGCAAAGATGGGGGAGCACCCCGCCTCAAATTGCTAAGTTCTCAGCGTTCCGAATTCTGAAGGTTTCGAGACGATTCCCTCTTTCGTCGTACGGGCATGGGTTAAGGGTTTGGGACGCTTCGGTCGGGAATTAAGCTTTTGAGTCGTTCCAGGCGCCTGTAATCTCAAGCGAAAGAGCCGCCGAAGCACACAAAAGCCATCCCCTCCTACGCTGAAGCCTCTATTTAAAGAAAAGCCTCATTCTACCCGAAGCCTCAATACCCCCCGGACGCCCCCAGCTTCAGAGAGATAAGCGAGGCCTCAGCAAGAGCGGGTGGAACCTTGCAAAAGCTATGTGATTCTGATTCTAGACGCCAGTCTCAAATTACCCTCCTCCAAGCTCACATGGAAGCCAAATAAAAGCCTAATGAAGACGACACTGTTTTGAAACGCTGCCTGCGCGTGGCGCATGCTTCCTGATGTTATTTGTTTTGGGGTTAGCCGAGAACCCTAAACCTTAGGGTTTCTCCCTAAACCATAACCCTTAATTCCTGAACCCTTAACCCCAACATTAAACCTAGACCCTAACCCTTAGCCGTAAATCTGAAACTCTAGACCCTTAACCTCAAATGGAAAGCTGAAAGAGGTCGGCTTTCGCGATGCGCCACTTCTAAGCTCCTGCCACAACCAGCCTGGCTCACAAGGGGCCCTGGGTATCGGGGATTGTAAGCACTTGTGGGATCTAGGGGTATTTATAGTGATCCATATGTATATATATATAATACACACATACATACCTCATTTTGTTGATTTAGAGGTGTCTGGAATTTGGCTGTGTGATTAGGGGCTAGGGCTTAGAGATTAGGTGAGACTTCTTCTCTTTGATGGTTGGCTGCATAGGTAGAGTTTGCTGCCTGGGGCTGCACAGTCTGGCATCCTTAGAGAACCCTAGGCCCTAAACCCCAAACCCTATTAAACCGAGTTTCAGCTGCCTGGTGCCACGGAGCTCAGCAAAGAAGAGTGCTATCAGGGTCGGAACCGTCGCACGACAGGATTAGCAAGGTAATGGGATAAGGTGACCCACCAGGATCCTCTGAAGTAGCAGCTCTTTCATACAAATCGAGTGGGCTGCGACTTGCCATCTTGTGGGATGCGTGCTCTTGGCAGTTGGAGTTTTCACCCATTGGCCCGTGACATTCTCAGAGTGCAAATGACTCACACAAACTGCGGTGGTTTGCATTTACTTTGGAAGAAGATTCAGAGTTAATCTGAGCCGTGTGGGTTGCAAAGGCGGCTGCCGCCCGAGAGTCACGAGGCCCGGTTCTCAACGAGGATTTCCGGCCTGTTGGATCTTTGTTGATCTTTGTTGCAGTTGCCCATGATTGCAAACGCTCCTGTGAGGAAGAGCCCTAGGGATCAAGTACTCCAGACCACGAACAGGATCTGGATTGCCTGCGTTGGGGGCAGTACCTTCTGTAGCTGAGGGTATCCCATGCCGACATCCTGACTTACTAAGAGCCTGACCCTTCAAGTCAACCCTGAAGTCTATATATCCTAAAATGCAACCAACCAACAATGGGTGCACAGAGACCCCTATTGTGGCTCCCAAAGATGCGCGGCAGAAACTGATGTGGGTACAGTTTCAGGGTTTTCGTTGAGTCAAGAAACTGAAATCAAGTTGCCTCATAAAAGCAACATAACGTGAAGAATAGGGTCCGCTCATGATGTAAAGCTCATGGAAAGAAACCCGGACAATCATCATAGATCATGCTTCTAGCTCGTGCCTTTTCTTGAAAGTGGGAAGTGATTCCTGTGGTAGACCCTATGGAACATCCGTGACTAGTTTCTGTAGGGACCGCCCAGCCCACAATTTTGAGAAACCCTCGAATCATGTTGCTGGAGCAATTTGGTGGTTTCCCGAAATAGGGGGACCCCACTATAAACCCAAAAATATTATAATCCTCGTTATATGAAGCCCCTAAACAGGTACCCCTAATTTTGGGAAACGCCCAGTTGTTAGTTCTGTCCCTTTGGTCAGCCATGCTGATCACGATGTTGCGCTCGGAAGCCCCTTGGTTTAGGGTTTAGGGGGAGATTCTGGTTGGGTTCAGAGCCACGCCACGATGTAGCGAGCAATTTCGGGCTGACGACAGAGGGTTTAGTAAATCCTAACATGTAAACTCTAAACCTTAGAGCTCCACAATAACCCAAAATAGGTACTATGTATAGACTTCCGGGCTCAAAGTAGGTACTATGTGTCGACCCATGGCCATAAGGTCAACCAGTAGCACAGAACATCGAAACTTCGGGCTGCCACGCCCAAGCCTTTGCCATGAGCCATCATGAACTTTACGGGCTTCAGGGATTTGGGTTTAGGGTTCAGGGTTCAGGGATTAGGAGTACTGGAAGATGCCATCAAACCATCTAAGGTCCCTGCAAGATCTTGACATGACCTTGTCACCTGTTCAAGAAAGCCAAGCTGGCAATTGGGGGAGTCCCGAAAATAAGGATTGCAATGTACTTGGATTCATGCTGAGGCCCCCTGTGAAACAAACCCTCGTCGGCATTGGCAAGGAGATGCCGGACCCAGGGAGCCCAATACCTTCTAGATAAGAAATAACGTCATATGAGGAGTCGTAGCACCATTTAAGGCATACCTGGACCCAAAAGGAGGCAAACCTCTAAAAACGGTCCGAACGGCGATTGCTCTACATACTTTTAGGGTGTTGGTATTCCTCAATGAAGCTATAGTCCCCCTTAAGTAGATAGAATATGGGGTATATGGGGATCTTATTATAATATACCCAAAGCCATATTCTATCTACTTAAGGGGGACTATATACTGGGTCTTTTGGGAGGCAATGCGTGCTTGGCTGGATGAGCGACGCGAGGCCTTAAGCTTAGTATCTTGAGGCTGGCTGGAGTTGCTTACATCACGGTCTTCTGGGGGGGCACTCTACGGAAAAGGGTTAGGGATTAGGGTTCAGGGGTTTATACATATATAGATATACACATATATATGGGTCATATAGGCATTAGATTGCATGGAGGCTCAGGGTTTGTGGCTGTATACTTAGGAGGACTTGGCTTTTCGGCTCTCGGGTTAGCGGGAGATTGCGTCAGATTCCACTCCCCCACTTCCCAACAAGGTAAGGTTGCAGAAAAACACCTACGGTGATCATCATTCTGGCTGGTTGTGGTTGAGAAATTTAAGTTAAGTTGCCTGAATATACATGCATGTCAGCTAGCAGGGCTTCCTAATTGTGGTAATTTAATTTAAGCTCCTTCGCAGCAACTCAGCACAATCGCCTGACAGCCTCCACAGGAGCCCTGCTCAGCTTTCCAGACTCAGGTTGTCGAGGATTGTAAGGATAAAGTTCAGGGTCGGGCCTGCAGATTTCAAGGTTCTAAGGGAAAAAAATGTGGGCTCCTAGGCCTTTTAGGGTGATTCTAGGAACCGTTCAGTGTACCTATAGTAGGTACAAGGATCCCAGGGTTAAGGGCCGATACTAGGGGCGCATGGTTTGCTCCTTAAAAAGGTCTAGGCTTGGGCGCTCCTTTTAAGGGCGTCAATATTAGGATCATACTAATCCCTATTGAGGGTTTGGGGCCTGGTTTCAAGTAGAAATGTTCGGGTCTGCTGGGTGCAGGGCTGAAAGAAAAAGCCCAATGTGATTTTCAGATTGCGCCACTGATGTCTTCAAGAATTCTTTCCCTAAGCTTGAATGCGGGGAACAGTCATGTACTTTATAGGGCCCAATGTAGGTATCATTTTATAGACTCTAGAGCCCCAGGGTTGGGTTTGGAGGTCTAGACCTCTGCGCTGGCTCGTTTGAAGTGCGGGAGTTTCCTAAAGCATGTTCTATATAATTCATACCAAATCAAGTGGTACCTAGCTTGGACTCAATTCCTATAAATGGCACCTGCTTGGGGTAGTTTGGAGCCTGGAAAAATCCCCTCGTCTCCCTGGAGTCTTGAAGTGTGCCCTTGCTTGGAGACATCCTCATCCTCTTTTAGGGTTTGGGGTTTATAGCCACATGAGCCCAGGTCCAGGATACCGCTGGACCAAGTCCTCAGCAGTCGCCACGGATGCCTCTGCCTCAAAATCCTGGTTTCCAGCGTTTGAGGGTTTAGGGCTTAGGCCTCGAAATCTTGGTCATTTACCTGCACCTCCAAAGTGGCTAACATAATGGTCCAAGGAACCCTTAAAAATAGTCCAAAAGACAATTATTCTACATACTTTGAGGGTGTACTTCAAGTAAGGTACTTAAAAAGCTTAGATCATCACCGATATAGTTGACTGAACCCCGAACCCGTATTCTGTTTGAATAGGTCGCTACAATCTAGATCCTCCAACTACGCTTGAACGGGCCGACAGGCCACACGCATTCTCGGAAACCCCGGGTTCGGGCCCTTTCGAGCTGGACTCGCCAGTCCATGCTTCATGATTTCCAGTTGAAGTTCAGGCTGCGGCCCCTCATAGTAGGGTTTAGGGCTGTTGCCCTTCAGGCCATGGAAGAAGGCAATACGCCTCTATCCACATAATCTGGCGAGAGTTTGTCAGCATTTGCCCATAGAATCCTTCTACTAAGCACCTCCATACTCCACCTGTATTCCCCTCAAATCCCCAGAAACCCCCAAGTGCCTGCATTTCGAGATGCTGAGACGATTAGACAAGCTTCAGCGTTCGAGCATGCGCAGTAGACTCCCAGCCCACACACTGCTGAACGCTCTGCATCTCCTTCACTACATTAGAAGACACAGGCTTCCGGCTGTTACACAGCACAGAGCGATGTCTGGCCATTTATGATCATGACTTGGCGCAGCATGGCAAGAGCACCTGCAGACCTTTCCAAGCCTAATCGAAACATGTCTCGGAGATATTGCCCCTCCTAAAGCTTTCCGACATCGAGTGTTCATACGGGCCTGATGTCTCGTCCAAGTGCCCCTGGCCAGGTCCTCGTTCGCCTTTGCTTTCGTAGATACGCTTTGGCCTCGGATTTGCTAGGGCTTGGAGCATCGTAGAATGATCTCAAACCGCGGGCTTGAGATGTTGAAGCTTCGCTGCTTCGACTTCATGACCATCAGGTTCAAGGAATGTGAGGCCATGTAGTTCGAAGAGGAACAATATCACTGCATATCGAAGGGCTGGGGTTCTTTGCAACACCTTGAGTTGAGATTTCGGGCTCAAATATCAGGTTCCATACGGCGGTGCTCCATCCCCAGCAAAGTACTCCAGCAGGCATTGTTTGAAAAAGCGTGCGTTGACGCAAGGCGTTGTGACGCCAGAAATGAGAGGTGTGAGATTTGTCTGGAAGAGCTGGTGAGGTCGTAACTACTGTGAGCATGTATTGTTCAGGGGAGATTCTGATGAATCAGTCGCGGGCCTATTGATTTGTTCTCATAAAGCCAATCCTGTTTCAGGCTCTGTAGTTCCGCGTGCCGGCAATTTAGTCAGAATCAAGGAGTTCCCAAACATCAGCTTGCATGAAGCTTGCCTTTACGAAAAACAAGACCTGGGAAATAGCAGAGGTCCCTACTCCCAGTTGAAGTTGTTGCAGGTTCTTTCCTCTAAGCGCGTTGTATTCGGATTCAAGCAAAACAAGGAAATAAACGGAAATCCCTCCTTGTGAGTGGATTTCCCTCAGATTTAACACAAAGCACATGGAGGAGCTCCCAGGCCGAGTTAGAGCGTGATTTTCTTGAAATTATGTTATAGACACGCACTTTTTAAAGCCTTTTAAAGCAATACCAACAAGGAAGTAAAGAGAATTCCTAATTCTGATTAGATTTCCTGTCGAATGTTTCTACAAGTTCCTGCGTACAGTACAAAAAACTTGCACATCAATGAGACCCCGAATCCTTCATTATTCCTTATCATGCGACGCTCTTATACCCTTTAACAGTAGTTCCCCGCATTGAAAAGTAACCTTCCAGGTGTTCAGGCTTTCTGCGTTGCGTTGACATTCTGCCGAGGGAGGGAATACATGTTTGGCTTAAGGGGGTTCCTTTGTACAGCTATAACCTACTTCAAAACCTGAACCCTCAACCAATTCATGTAAGGTAAGCCCCAACCTCTAGATTGTGAGGTCTGCCTTAGAATCCTGATTAGTAGCACTCGCTCTTCATAATCCTTACATATAGCTGTGGTCTACTTGCTTAGGCCCCAACCTCTACAATTCCATTCAACGAACTTGTGTATCTTGGTTCCTACCCGCGCCCACTAACAGTCTACAATCGGGGTCATATTAAGGGCTCTATATATTGGTATTGTGAATATTATCCAGCTGTTAGTGACTCGGGGCAGTATCCCATGTATGTCTCTGTGAGACCCCTACAAGCTTGCAGTGGCCCCACAGTTGAATTGGTACGACGTGGACCCCGAGGATGGCATGGCCCGAATTAGTCTGGACTACGCTGTCCGGTGTGGGCTACTCACTGCACAGGAGCAGCTGTCCGAACCTATGGTCTATCATCCATATCAGTTCAGGGGAATTCTGAAGCTGAACGATGGCCGAACAGCGCTCGTGAAAGGCATGATGGTCATTGACTCGTCGCTGAGATCCGAGATCGCTATGCTTGAATCCTGCGTTAAAGTGTGGAGCACCCACGAGCTCCCAGCAGTGGGTAGGCAGGGTTCAGCGTGAAGGGTTAAGGGCAAGGGACTTCATAAGTAGGTTAAGAGTGGGGATAGCTGGGGTTATTCATATGGCTTCTAGGGGTGCAGAGTGGTGCCGATGCTTGACCCCAAACCCGTAACCCTGGACCCTCAACCCTAAACCCCGAAACCCTAAAACGATAAACCCTATAGGACCCTAAACCCTAAAACCCTAAACGCTTTAGGCCACTACACGCAGAATGTTCCACCCAAGGACTACCTCGACCGAGCCTCTTCGCCGGGGATCTGCATCGGAGTTGCGTCACTTGGGCTGCAAAGGAGCCTACACGGTTTAGGATTTTGGGCTTAGGATTTATGATTTAGGTTCTGGATTTACGTTTTAGGGCTTGTGGGGAGATTTAGGTAACAGAGACAGTACTTGTCTCAGTTTTCCGAAAAGGAATCAGAACTTGTACTTGTAATTTGTAATGCTAACAGTATTCGTTATAAAAGTAGCCGTCATGATAATAGTAGGTGTAGCATCAGTACTGAAAGAGACTTTGGGCTTTAGGGCCTAAGACTCGAAATGGGAATGAAGGAAAGGATTTGTATTCATTCAGGGTTTGGTTCCCAAGAAGAATCTTGTTTCTTTTCCGTTCTTTCCTTTAGACGTCTGATAGCTTGGGGGCTCTCTAAAGGGCTTTATAGGGACTCTACTGAGGCAGAGGGTGTCAAAAAGGGTTAAGGCTAGAAGGCTCACTAGTCAGAAAGAGTGTCGCCCATGTACTCTCAGTATGATGTACACCAGAACCCTATGTTCCATTACACTGATTTGGTACTAACCACGTTCAGGCTTGCCAGTGCGACAAAGGGATGGGGCATATGGGGGTCTGGCATGAGGGCAGGATTCTACGGGCCAGGATTCAGATTGCAGAGGCTTATGGCTTAGGGCTTATAAAATTGGGGTGTTTTTTTGGGGTTTCATGAACAGAGTGGGCGTGCCAGGGTTCCAGGTGCTGTATGGTGCCGCATTTGAGTTGAAGCTTCCGAGCATATCGCAGATCTTTAAACTACAACGTCGTTCTTCTTGCGGGGATACCCAGGTACCTGAAAGTAATGTACCATCCATGACATGAGGCACTCGTACCCTACAAAAGGCATGTCAGTGTAGGGTCCAGCCATTAAGTTGCGAATCTCTACGTACATGATCACGAAGCTTCCCGTTCATTTTACATTTGGTTCGCACTTGTTCTCCCAAGTCGTCCCTTGCACGCTACATCCCACATCATTCATCTGAAGCCCTGCCCGGCTACCCTACAAGTTGTCACAACCTGCCTGGGTCCCCAACACAGAGAAAATAATGGCCCAAAACCACAAAAAGGCAACTATGCTACAGACTCTTTCTGTGTAAAAAGGCATTGCCGCATGTGGGAAGAAAGGACCCCGGTTGTGGTACGCGCTGGAACCGGCAGGCTTGTATGATTTCCTTATAATCCTTCTACAATGGGATTTCTCTTAAATCTTGTAGAATAGGCCGTATTCAGAAAAGGTAGGACATCCAGGATCTGGGTATAGTATAATGTACTTCAAAAATGTTACACTGCTCAGAGACATCCGTACATCACGCGACGCAGTGTCGTATATGGTCCGCACATCCTCCGTCTCAAGCACCACCTTTTCCCTCCCCATGCTGCGATCCAGGCACAGTCCCTGAAAAGGGCGAATCCCATCCCGTCAACTTCAAGCCCTACCGTAGCAGTACCGTTTTTGAGTATGACAGGGGAACATCACACACAGGAAGCGCCGCGGTGGTAATCCTGCTTCTAGAACAGTACTCAGCAATCTGGAACTGATATCGAACAAGCAGGGGGTGGGTTCAAAACTACCTTGTAATTTCTATTGCCCCGATATCCCTCTATAGTCCTTGTAGAGCCATAAGACCTTGATTTCCATAGGGCCCCAAGCCTAACCAAGTGAAGGCCAGAGGAGTTTTCACTACCTGCGTGAGCTTTGTTGTTGCGTAGCTCAACGTCCCATTTCAATTCCGAACTAAGACCTGTTTCCCTTTAACACCAGCCATGCTCAATCTAAAGAGTGCCATAGTGTTGCAAACCCTAATACCCTAAACCCTGGGTCTAAGCCGCCGTCCGGAATGGTCCCTCACCCAGCGATGCCCACTCCCGCGATGGTTTCCCCAGAGTCGGGGGAGCGCGACAGCTCGAAGACGACGGTTGCAACGCAGCCGCCTGCCCAGACAAGGGAGAGTGGGCTTAGAGTGTGGGGTTTAGGGTTTAAGGTTTCAGGCTTAGGGCTTAGGTTTCGAGGGAGGCTGAGCTGTCAGCAACCTTGGCTCTAAGTTACCTACTGTTGGATTTTAAAAGTCTTGGGATAGAGGTCCCTATTTGGGAAGTCCCTGGAGTCATAGTTTACATGTATACAAATTGCTTATTGGGGCTCCCGTTTAAGACAGTCCTTACTCAGACCTTCCCTCTGACGTAGGGGCCAAAAATTATGACAGTGCAATGCCGTACCAGTATTATGGTCTTAGGTTTCTCCAAGTTAGACCTCGAAATCATGTTGGTACTTTGATAGTCTTCTACTATTCTACCCTAAGCACCATAAGCACCCACTATTAGAGACCATATACCTCTACTCATCACGGGTTCCCCAACTACTCCCCTCTGCACTACCCCTTAGTCGATGTTATTTAGGGACACAAAGGATTCACTAAGGTTAATTAGCGCGGAACCTGGGGGGTAGTAGGGGAACCCATCTGAGTTTAAGGGTACAGAGAGGATCCTAGTAGCTTCTTTATTCAAGTGGCCTAGGAATGTCCTAAGATACCGAGGTTAAATCTGCCAACTCTTTGCCCGAAATAGCTGGAGTTTAGGATTTAGGGTTTAGGGAGGGTTTAGGGTTTAGGGTGATCCCCAGAACCCCATTAATGTCTTACCCTCTTTCCAGAAGGCATCAATTGTGTCTCGTATCTTCTGGCCTTGGGGCCTGAGGTTTCAGATTCCACTATAGTTAGAAATCCAAGAGCCTGAGGCCAGGATTTACGATCTAGGGTTTCGGGTTTGAAGGTTTGGGGCTCAGGATGTTTTGACATGATGCAAGCAAGGCCAACGAGAAGCTGTAGTCAAAACTTGTTTGTTTCATTCTAGGTTCGAAACCTTACCTATATCTAGATACGCTGTCAAACTCCCAACCCTGAAACACTCAATCTTAAAACCGCAGAGCCTAGAACCCAAACCCCACACCTCCCTCTTACATTAAAGCCCCCCTCGGTCCCCTTGTTTCGAATTTTCTTAGTGGTACAACGGGGAGGGATTTAACTTAAATCCTTGCCACCCTATCGAACCGCTTTACAGTTTCCATTACATCCCCCCAAACAATGTAGTCATAAACCCTTAACACACAACCCTAAACCCTAAATCCCAAGCCTAAATCCTAAACCCCATGCCCTTAGCCCCACAAACCCTCAATCTTCAACCCTAAACCTCGTGAGTTCAGGCTAGAGCCCAATCTCCTCCGTGGTCTGCCACTGCACGAAGTGCTGTCTGGATGGGGCCACCACTGGCGAAGCGACCCGAGCCCTGTGACTTCCGCCACGCAGTAAAGTTCCTGCGAAAAGGGTTGTAGAGGCTACTTAGGGGCTTGGTTCCAGGACAAAAATTCTTCTAGAGGAGAAGTACATTGGGATGTACAGGATGTTGGCGTTGAGGGTTTAGTGACAGAGGAGGTCTGGGGAATCGCAACAAGGAGTTTGGGACATAGAAGTTGTAATAGCTAGGGTTACGGCAGGACGCCTCAAGATGGTGCTTAGTTGATGGACGGGGTGCTGGAAATGAGCGAAGGAAGCACTTGGATTCGGGGAATCACGCACAGTTTCTTGTGTCCAGAGTCTTATTCATATACCTCCTGATGCGCTGAGAGTACCACATGTATAAGACCCTCGCGGCCTCTGCGGTTTTGGTTTCCTTGGGCAGTGGTCCACGCAAACGGGAAAATGAACCTCCGGCATGTAAACTCATCTCCAAAGCTTGACCAGAAGCAAGTAGCAAAAACCCAGACTGCCAGACTCATAACCCTTACCTGTAACCCCAAGACCTACAGCTTTATGGGGGATACCTATTAATGAGGGTGAGTTACTACAAGCTGTAGGTACTTGGGGTTACAGGTACACGCCTAGGAGCCACCAGCTTAGCTGCCCAACAGACGCATTTGATGGCTTCCTCAGCCACGACTGGGCATCGAGTGGTTGGCTGAAGCCTCTTTGCAGGTATAGGATTTAGGGTTTAGAGTGATTGTGGGGATCATACAGATGAGTGTTAAGTACAGGGTTCTGGTATTGAAGGCCAGGGTTTTGGGCGAATGGTATGGCTCAGGGCTTAGGATTCAAGTTCAGCTTCCCCGTTCCATGGTAGGACGTTAAAGATTTTGATTTTTTGCTTTGTCAGTTTAAAGCCTCCAGGGAAAGCAGGCCATGTAGATGAGGATGCTGGTAATACAGGGTTTCTCAAATGCAGGGCGTTTGGCGTAAAATCTAGCTTCATGTTTTGGTTGCTGCACCAAGCGTCAAAGCAATTTCAAAGTCAGATCACCTTCCCTGCTACATGTTCCACATAATCCGAGTCACGGTGCAGAGAAGCTTGAGAAAAGCAGTCTATATTAGACCTTTAGGGTGCCTTAATCTACCCTTAATAGGTTAATAGGGAATTTTAGGGTCTAATAGCCCATAGTAGGCCCATCCTGCGCAAAAGCGCCCGAGGTTCTTCTCCCTGCTGATCATCTTCAACTCAGGCGCATGTTTGGGGGCATGTTTGGGGAAAGGTTTTTGTGGGGTGTAGGAGTTAGGAGAAAGGCCTTGCCCAGTTTGGGTAGTTACATCACCCTCAACCAACCAGTAACAAATATCCTCAAATCTAAGATACCACATAGAAAACATCCTATTTATCAGGTGATGTAACTTCCGAAATGGGCAAGGTTAGGTTTCTTCATTTTATGGGACATAGTATGGTAGTAGGGTCTGTAATTTTCTGTTCCTGTCCGTGCTGATGGTGGGCCCTGCTGCATAAGATACGTTTTGTTACTGCCCACAACAATCTCTTGATGGGCATGCATGCCTTTGCTTCGTGCAGGAATCTTCTGAAGTATTCAAATGTAGGTTTGCGAGCTAACAGATGAAAGGCGACAGCAGGGCCAACAGAAAAAGTATGCCGTAAAGCGATTCGCTGTGCTTAGTGGGTTTTTGCTATCAGCTTGTCAAAGTTGGGCAGAAGAGAGCACATACGCTTCCAGCAGTCCTGTCCCACTCACGG